CCGTTGCTTTCGGTCCTGCCTTCCGGTGCTTTGGAGGACAGGTTGACTTCAGCCCCCAAGGCTGCTTCTGACCTCCCCCCCAAAAAAAGAACCTCTGAAGGGCTGGATTTGGGAGTCCCACCTGAGCCAGGTGAGGCCTGGGGTGCCAAACCAGTTCCTTCCATTAGCATCCTGCCGCCCATTTCCAGGTGAACGCCCAAGCCAGCCAGTGCCAACCCTCTCCTTCCCTTCCTGGTCTGGCCAGAGTCCCATCCCTGATGCCGCCGCGCTTGTCTTCAAGGCGGAAATGGGTTCTTCTCATTTCCCATCATCCCATCCTACACTCTGTCTGAATCCAGCATGCTGGGAAATTTGCTCACAGCAGGGTGGAGAAGGCCGCGTTGGCCAGCGCAATGCTTGATTTGTATAAATTGTGAAATCCTGTCTTGAAATCCCAGCTGTGTCTCCAGCTAACATCACACTGAAATGTAAATGCGACCTGCTTGCTTTGGGCTTATCCTTTTCCTGAGAACCAAAGTAATTGTGGCGCCAATCTACACTGCTCAAAAAAATAAAGGGAACACAAAAATAAGACATCCTAGATCTGAATGAATGAAATATTCTTATTAAATACTTTGTTCATTACATAGTTGAATGCGCTGACAACAAAATCACACGAAAATTATCAATGGAAATCAAATTGAGTAACCCATGGAGGTCTGGATTTGGAGTTACACTCAAAATTAAAGTATTAAAAAACACTACAGGCTGATCCAACTTTGATGTAATGTCCTTAAAACAAGTCAAAATGAGGCTCAGTAGTGTGTGTGGCCTCCACATGCCTGTAGGACCTCCCTACAACGCCTGGGGATGCTCCTGATGAGGTGGCGGATGGTCTCCTGGGGGATCTCCTCCCACACCTGGATTAAAGCATCCCCCAACTCCTGGACAGTCTGTGGTGCAACATGGTGTTGGTGGATGGAGTGAGACATGATGTCCCAGATGTGCTCAATTGGATTCAGGCCTGGGGAACGGGCAGGGCAGTCCATAGCATCAATGCCTTCGTCTGGCAGGAACTGCTGACACACTCCAGCCACAAGAGGTGTAGCATTGTCTTGCATTAGGAGGAACCCAGGGCCAACCGCACCAGCATATGGTCTCACAAGGGGTCGGAGGATCTCATCTTGGTACCTATTGGCAGTCAGGCTACCTCTGGCAAGCGCATGGAGGGCTGTGTGGCCCCCTAAAGAAATGCCACCCCACACTATTACTGACCCACTGCCAAACTGGTCATGCTGGAGGATGTTGCAGGCAGCAGAACGTTCTCCACGGCGTCTCCAGACCCTGTCACGTCTGTCACATGTGCTCAGTGTGAACCTGCTTTCATCTGTGAAGAGCAAATGCCAAACGTCCTGCACGGTGTTGGGCTGCAAGCACAACCCCCACCTGTGGACGTCGGGCCCTCATGGAGTCTGTTTCTGACTGTTTGAGCAGCCACATGCACATTTGTGGCCTGCTGGAGGTCATTTTGCAGGGCTCTGGCAGTGTTCCTCCTGTCCCTCGTTGCACAAAGGCGGAGGTAGCGGTCCTGATGCTGGGTTGTTGCCCTCCTACGGCCTCTTCCACGTCTCCTGATGTACTGGCCTGTCTCCTGGTAGCGCCTCCATGCTCTGGACACTAGGCTGACAAGACACAGCAAACCTTCTTGCCACAGCTCGCATTGAAGTGCCATCCTCATCTCAGCATTTCCCTATCTGGTACCTTCTGGATTTGGGGAGTGGGACTCCCACAATTCTTAGCAATCAGAAGCCAGCCCCCTCAATTTTTGGTGACTTTCCACACAGCTGCAAGGAAAGAGATGGGAATTTTGTAGGCCAAGCACACACCCCTCTGGCAAATTTTGGATGGATTTGGGCCAAACCCCCGTCTGTTTCCCCACAATAACCGTAGAGTAACAGGGTTGGAAGCAGTGGTGGGATTCAGCCAGTTCCCACCAGTTTGGGAGAACCGGTTGTTAACTTTCTGAGCAGTTTGGTGAACTGGTTATTGGAAGAAATCATGAGGGCAGAGAACCGGGGGTTCAATTATTTGAATCCCACCACTGGTTGGAAGGGACGTTGGAGGTCTTCTAGTCCAACCCCCTGCTTGAGCAGGAGACCCCATGCCAGGGTGTGTCCAACCTTGGCAACTTTAAGACCTGTGGACTTCAACTCCCAGAATTCCCCCAGTAGCTGCCTGGGGAATTGTGGGAGCTGAAGTCCACAATCTTAAGGTTGTCCACCCCTTCCCTGTGCCATTCCAGACAAAGAGCCGACCAATCTCTTCTCCAAGAGCTCCAGGGACGGAAGGGAGGTCCTTCCGCTGGTTCCTTGTTCTCACGGTCGGACATTTCTCCCTAATTCTAGGTTGGCTCCCCATAACTTCCTTCTGCTTGGGGGTCAGGAGCCCTCAGTCAGCCTGGCGACAAAGGACTCTCTGGCGTCTTTTCTCGGAAACCTCCAGCGACGGAGCGCAGAAAAGAAAACCAAAGGTAGACAAACGTCCTCTGTAGGGCTCAAAGGCACCTTCGGGCCTCGTCTGGGTTTTGCAGGACTTGAAAAGCGAAAAAGGAGCACCTGGAACTCCACCGTATCCAGGGCGTGCCGATTTGTTTACTTGGCAAGCCGCAAGGCGCTCTTGCCCGGGAGGTGCCACCTTGGAGGCCCACCCAGCGGGCCAGGAGCCGCAGCCAGGGAAGCCAGCCAACTGGTTCTCCCAGTCCAGGCACCCTAATACAGCTGTTCCTTTTCAGGCACCCTTGTCAGCTGACTCCGCTGGGTGCAGGAATGTGTTCGCGCCCCACCCTGCTTTGCCTCGAGAGCTGCTGCTGCTGACGCAGGAGACATCGGGTGCCAAACCCAACTGCTTATTATTGCAGCTCGCAGCTGTTTTATTTGAACCGGGGACGTTGTGACGTGTCTCTTTTTCTCTGTAAGCTGAAGTCTTGGCAGCAACTTAGAAAGATCTGGTCCTTTTTGCAATTCCTGGCTCACGTACAACTGGAGTTCCCCAACCCTCAATATTTCTCCATTCCCTTTTAGGGTGCGTCCCTTGCTGGGGTCCCTTCCTCCGCCTTTCCCCCCCCCCCTTCAGGCATCTGATGTGCCCAGGATTGAAATCCCACTTGAATATGACACATGCTTTACTTGACGGAGATTTCTTTCCAAAGTATTCGTGCAAAAGTGTTAGTAAGGCTGCACCTGGAATCCTGCATCCTGTTTTGCTTATCCACGTTACCCCAGAACAAGATGTTGAGACGTTGGAGGAAATGCAACTGAGATGATTAAAGGCCTGGAGATAAAAACACAGGAAGAAGGGCTGCAGGATTTGGGCTTGGCCAGTCTGGTGAGAAGAGGGAGGGGGGGACACGATAGCAGCATTCCAGGATCTCAGGGGTTGCCACAAGAAGGCGGGGTGGGGGGGGTCAACTTATTTCCCAAATCATGAGAAGGCAAGACAAGAAACGACAGGTGGAAACTTCCTAAGAGTGAGGACACTTACACCAGTGGAACAGCTTTGCCTTCAGAAATCGTAGCTTCTGCACCACGGGAGGTTTCTAAGAAGAGACCCGACAGCTACTTGCCAGAAATGGTACTATAGGTCAAGGTCTCTTGCTTGGGCAGGGGGTTGGACTAGAAGACCTCCCAGGGGCCCCTTCCAGCTCTTATTCTGTTTGATTGAAGTGGGAAACTATTTCTCAAGACCTCCTTCTGAAGAAGCAGAGACACAGGAGCAGACAAGACGTTCTGATCTCAGATTTATTATTAACTGAGGAGGAATGGCTGCACCATTTATCTTTTGGAGATTCGGAGAAGAAATAACATCTTTTTTTCCAGCAGAGGAAAAAAGCATCTGGAACCATTTCAAAATTGTAGGACAATCTCGTTTGCTCATAGTTTACACACAAAAATATAGATATTTTATATATATATACATATATATTATTCTGGAATATTTAAAAAAAAAAGATAAATACAATATAAAATTCTTTTTGAATAAATAGACTCTATAAATAGTTTGGTTTCGGTTATTGCCTTATTACAAGGTAAACATCTGAGGATTAAAAAAGCCAACAACACCCACCACAAAAATGACACGGAGATGTGACCAGCATGGACATTGGCTTAGAAACAAAAGGCCCCCTCCTCCCCTCCACCCCAACTGGTCTCCATCAGTGCAAAATGTCTAATTTAACTGGGGTTGAAGCAACAGGGCACCATTTTCCTGGCTGTGGGTCCTGGCCTTTGTGGTCACTAACAAGTTTTATTCCTGACGCCGCCGGCAGAAACGTTTGTCCTCTGGTTGGCCAGTCCCCAAATCCTCCCCCATACGTGGGGCTGGAGGAGCAGAGATCCCAGAAGTGTGATTTCGTGGAGTTGGAGAGCGGGCCAAGTATTTCCTTGGAGGACCAAGGAAGAAAAGACACGTTCTGGAATTGGTCAATGTGGGAGAACTATCGGACACCCAGTTTGGTTCAGATCCGAGTTTCCTATGGAACAGGGGTGAACAATTTTGGCTCGATTTTGTTTTTGGTCAATGAATTTCACCCCACTGGAGCAAGGAAGTAGCCAATCCGATTCAGATTTTCCAATACGGTACAATTTCACACCTAGGCAGCTGGCAGAGAGATTTGGGAGGAGAGGAAGAGTGATAAACAGCCTCCCTCTTGCCCCCCCCCAGGGGATGCAGAATTCTTGGGGTTCAGAGCACCCCAAGGGGGAAACGCCGCCCTGATTTCAAAAGCTCCAGAGGGCGTGGCATGGCGGAGGGATTAAAAAAAAGAGATAAAACTCAGCACCTCTCCTTAATTCTCAACCTATTCATGCTGGAGGACTAGATAAGGAGAGAATATTCACAGTATAAAGCATGGTTTTTTTAAAAAAAGATACATTAACAGTTACCAGGATGTCATCTAAGTCGTATTTCCCTGGACCGGCTTCTGTGGTGTGAGATATTCTCCTCCCCCCCACCCATTTTTGTCAAAAACAAATAAAGCTGCTACATACAAGTCCACGTCCCTTTTCTCCCTGGGACAGGTAACCTTTGGCATAATGCTCAGGTGTTAGATCAGCACCTGTCACTTGGAGATGGGTGGAGTTCTGGGGGTTGAAGTCCCCCCATCTGCAAGTGATGGAAGTTTGCAAACACCCGGTGAGTCTCAAGAGTAAGAAAGATCCTTTGTTTGTTTGCACTTCTCCAGACTTTTCCAGGTTGGGGGGAGGGAGTGGATCCCTAAAAAGGGACCAATCTCCTTACAGTTGAATCTCTTGAGGGAGGGAGGGAGGGAGGCTGGTCCACCCCCACTGCCCCTCTCAGCACAGCTCAACCCGGCCAGGGGGTTTATGCAAAACCAGAGAGAAAATCAAATTGACTCCCCATCTTGGCTTCCTGGCTCCCTGAAAGGTGATTTTTGAGACAGTTCCAAGGCCCAAGTATCTGACTCCCCCCAAAACACACACACAGATATATATATATACAGCCGTAAGGCACTCGGGGAGGGAGAGGGAGGCAAGGACTTGGCCCACCCCTCTGCATAACTGCTCAGTCTGGAGTCTCCTTGCAGGCTCCGTTTAAGGCACTAAGTGGGGAAAGGGAAACTTGAATAGGCTGGAACCCCGTTTGCTTTCAGGACACCCCGCATTTCCCAGGCCTCTTGAGGGCAGTAAGGCCGGCCGGTGGGAAGCAGGAAAAGCCCCCCCACCCCACCCCCCCAAAAAGAACAGGCAAGAGGAGGGCTTAACGAGAAGCCCCCGAAAAACAGCTGGCATCAGTTCAGGACCTTGGGGTCCCCCCCTCCGAAGGGATCTCATCCAGAGGGTGGCCCCCTCCGTTGCAATCGACAGCAAGCTGGAAGCGTCCCGTCCGGCGCTCAGTCCGAGACCGAAAGCCGGTTGAAGATGGGCAGGCGGTGAGGGGTCCCCGCCGGCCCGCCGACAGGGTGCTGGTCGAAAACTGGGGAGTCGGAGCCGCTGAGGCTGCTGCTGCTGCTGTAGCAGTCGGGGTCCGAGAGCGAGTTGGCGGAGGGGGTCCTGGGCAGGGCCGACGGGGGCGTCCCAGGGGCGGCCGAGAAATAGTCCCGGTGGCTCTGGAGCGAGGCGCCCCCGCCGGCTGGCTTCCTGCAGCGGCAGGAGCAGCAGCCTCCGGCGGGGGCCGCCGGCAGCGAGTCCCCCCCGAAGGACGAGACCAGGGCGAGCGGGTCCAGCGTCAGGCGCTCGAAGGGCGACGACAGGAACTCGGTGGTGGAGGCGGGTGGAGGCGGCGGCGACACGGAGGGCGCCCGGGCGAAGGAGGCCGGGTCAGGCAGGCCGTGTAGCGGGGAGGCGCGGCGGGCAGTGGGCACCCCGGAGAAGCTAACGCTCTGGCGGAGGAGCTGTGGGGAGGTGCCGCTGGGCCCATGGCTGCCGAAGACCTGCGCCTCCTCGGGGAAGTGGATGAAGTGGCAGCGGGAGCCGTAGGGACAATCGCCGTGAAGGTAGAACTTGTGGCAGAGCTCCGTCTTGTACTTGGGGTGGCGGCTGACGGAGCGCAGCTCGCACGAGCCGTGGGCAAACTGGCACTTGGCGCCGTACTTGCAGCGGCCGCTCTCGCTGAAGGTGCGGCACAGCTCTGTCTTGTAGCGGGACGACGGGGCGGGCAGGCCGGGCTGCTTGAGTGGCGGGAAGCCGGGCGGCGGCGGTGGCAGCGGGTGGGCCGCCTTGCCTTCGATCAGGCTGACCGAGCGGTCCGGGCGCAAGGGTGGGCGCGGCTGCTCGCCCTTGGGGCTCCAGGGGCTGCGCAGGGGCCACAGTGCCGAGTCCCCGCTGCCGGGCAGCGCCGGCTCGGAGCAGGCCGAGAGGTTGCAGGAGAAGGTGGAGGTCGGCGCATCCAGGTCTTCGCTCAGCGAGAGGTTGAGCAGGTTCTGCGGAGGGGGAAGAAGAGGAGAAGCGGGAGAGGTTAGAGACCCAGCCGAAGGCTCCACATGGTGCAAATCCCTTGGCAGGAACTGGCAAAGAGCCCGTGCAACTCTTGCGCAACCTTTGCACCTGCGCAGCGCAGAATCTCAACCGCTGCTGGGGAAAAGCGCCCTGGCCTGGGGTGGGGGGCAGCACCTCAACCCCCCTCGCCAAGCCTCAGGACCCTGAAGGAGGCCTCCTTCCTAAGCCTGGAGCCCCTCCCTTGGGACGATCTGCCGCGCCTGCCCGGCTTGCGACTTCCACCCGTTCTTGTCCAGCGAGACCCCCCTGGAAACACCCCGCCCTCCCCCCCCCCCCCGCTGATGGGGAAGCTCAGAAAGAGAAGGCAGCGTCGGTCGGTGACAAGCCGTGGCTCTAGGTGTGACGTCAGCAGCCTTCACCTAGCGCAGCTGGGCTGGGCTGCAGTTATTTTTAACCAGAGCCGCGGAGGGGAACAGCTGCTGGGGGGGGTGGGCGGGGGTCACGGGGGCATAAAACCTTCCACCTCTGACCAGCACGGTGGCTGCTTGCCAAGGATAGGGCGCCAGGTGGCCGAAAACCCTTCCACACGTCTTGTGGAAAGAAGGCAGACTTGTCCTGGTACAACTCACCCAGGACCCCCGTCCAGCCCCCCCCCCCCCAAGAAAGATTCTGTGTGTGTGTCCCCCCCCCTCCATTTTATGCAGGCTAAAACAATCGCTTTCCACTAAATTCGCTTTTTAACCGAGGGCCAAACTGTTCCCGGACACTCCTCAAATAATACAACGCAGTCATCCTTCAGAAATCCTGCTTGACAACAAAACCTACTTGCGAGGTGCTTTCCCACCTTACACAAACGTGCAAGGGGTGGAAAACACACACACACACACACACACCAGTGTCGAAACCGAAAACACCTTTTAAGACTAACCAACTTCCGGGAGAAACCTTAAACCTGGTTTAAAGACCTCTCAACCTCAGGTTGCCTGGATTTAGTTTGAAGCTGCTTTAGAGAAGCCGCCCGGGTGGGGTTTTGCCCCCCGCCCCCCCCCCCCCCCCCCTGTGGGGTGCAGCCCCCGGTGGAGCCGCCCCCTCCCCCCCCCCCCGGCCCCCCCCCCCCCCCATCCACGGGGGCCCCCCCCCCCCTTTGACAGCAGGCGAGCAAGAAGCGTCTTATTCACGGCCTCGGCTGCCACCCCTGATCGCCCGGATCCCGAAAGGGGGTTTCAGCAAAAGGCTTCCGGCTCCCCAGCCCCCCCGCCGCCCCCCCCCCCGGAAACCCCGGGCCGGGGGGCGGGCCCGGCCCCCCCCCCCCCCGCAAAGCATAAGAAATGGGGGTGGGGGGGTGGAAAAACTCCCCCGGGAGCGGCCTTTTTCCGGCCCACCGAGTGGCAAAGGCGGCTCGGGGGAGGCTGCGAAGCGGGGCCCGATCCGCCCGGCAAGCCCCGAGTCGGGGCGGGGAAGAAGCGGCGGCGGCGGCGGCGACGTAATCCCTTGACCTAGAAAAGGAGCCGAGCGGCGCTTCCTGTTTTTCTCCTCCTCTTCGTCGTCTTCTTCGGCCGGGGAGGAAGCGGCTCTTCCGCTCTCTGGGGCCCAGGGAAGGGCGGGGGTCGCTCCACCCGCCCGGCCTCCTTGCCCAGCGCCCGGATCCCTCGGAGGGAAGCCCCGGCGGCCCCTCCCCCCCCCCCCCCCCCCCCGGGGGGCCCGCCCCCCCCCCCCCCCGGCCCTTATAGGGAAGACTCCAAAGCCCGCCATTCCCAGCCAGAGAGGCTCCCATCACCGCGCCCCTCTGGGGAGCTTTTTCTTCGGAGAGCGGCCCCGAGAGGGGCTTCCAAGGGGGGCTTCCAAGGGGGGCCGCCGGGCAGAGGCTCGGAGCTGCCTCCCCCCCACCCCGCAGGCGCCCCCGAGGGTCGAGATCCAAAGCCGCGCCCAGGATCCGCGCCCCCCCGGCGCCAGAGGCAGGGGCGAGCCGTCGGGGGCCGGGCGGGCGGTCTCGGAGGCGGCTGGCCGCTCACCTGGTAGAGGTTCCGGACGTCCAGCATGGAGCTCATGGCGGCGCCTAGTCGTGCTTCGCTTGCCGAGAGCAGCACCGACGACTGAGGCGCGGCGGCCGGGAGGCGCAGATATACCGGCGGCCCCGCCCCGTTCCCCGCCCCGCTGCCGTGGGGCGCCGCCTCCCCCGGGCCCTCCCTGCGCCGCCTTCCCGGGCTACTTTGCGGGCCTTTCCCGACCGGCAGCTGGAGGGAGGGGAGGCAGCCCTTTGCCTGGGTGGCCTCAGGATTCCGGCCCTTCCGGGGCAGAGGGGTGGGCTAGATGGCCTCAAGGGGGGGGGCTTGCTGTCCGACCCAGGTTTGTGAGTACCCCAAAGGCCTCTGGAGGACGAGTGGGAGGAACGGCCTGCTGGGAGGCCTCCCACCAAGCAGCCTACGGGAGTCCTCGACTTATGACCACAAGGGAGCCCAAACTAGGCTTAGTGAGTTCTGCCCCATTTTACAACCTTTTCTGCTGCCATTGTTAAATGAATCGCGGCAGTTGTTCAGTAAGCAAGAGGGTCACGAAATGAATCCAGCTTCACTATTGACTTTGCTTGTCGCAAAAGGGGATCGCTTGGTTGTGGGACACCGCCACCGTCGTAAATAGGAGACGGTTGCCAAGCGCCTGGGTTCTGATGTTGGGACGCCTTTGATCAAGGCCAAAAGTTGTCCTGGGGCAGAACAGAGGGGCAAAGCCACAGGAGAGCCCCCCCCCCCAAGGGCCTGTATCAGGAGCCCCATTCCTGGGGCCCAAGGTTGCTGGAAACGCCAGGGGAGGCCGGGCAGGGGGTCCTTACCCCTTAGACGGGCTAGGGCGCGATCATCGTTTAAAAACGTCTCTTTAAACCACTCTTTTCGGAAGGTTTTAAGAAGAGTGGACTTCAACTCCCAGAATCCCCCAGCCGGCCTGCTGGTGCAGGGCTCTCCAACCTTGGCCACTGTAAAGACTCGTGGACTGCAAGGAGCGGAGGGAATTGTGGGAGTTGAAGTCCACAAGTCTTCAAGTGGCCAAGGCTGGAGACCCCTGTGCTAGTGACCTTGAAGAGGGATGGACTTCAGTTCCCAGAATTCCCCGTAATGACTATAAAGATGGGGGGGGGGCTTCATCTCCCTCCGTGCGCTGGTGCCAGCCTTGCCAAGTGGTGTCCTCCAAGTCGCTTTCCATGCCCCGAGGCAAATCCAGTCTTTCCCGAAAGTTACTGGCAGGACTTTCAGTTTTGAAATGCCTGCAGGTCTCTTTTGATTCCTTTTTCTCAGGTGACTTCAGATGATTCACTGGCCCGATGGGTTCCCGTAAGCGTGGAACCAGCGCCTCCAACTCCCATCCTCCTCCTCCCTGCTCGAGTTTGCACAATGTTGCCCGTAAGGGAGGCGAGGCGAGTGGAACCCGACGCAAGAGATGGATAGAAACAAAACAGGCCCTCGATGGGTTTCCTATTTCTGAGTTAAAAACAGGGTGTTTTGTTTGTGGTTTGTGATGGAATCGATGACTCCGCTTTCTCTATCACTTCTCAGCACGTTTGCGATGTTTTCTCACAACAGTGTGTGTTTTGGCTCAAGGAAGTAGAAAATATGACTCAACCCCGCAGAAATAGGTTGTGCTCTCTGTCTCTCTCTCTCTCTCACACACACACACACATACACCCCTACACCTCAATACACACCATTGTGGGAACCAATAACCAATAACCAATAACCGGGAGAGTATCACTCCATCTGCAATCAAGAAATAGTGAGTCAGATATTTGTGCAAGAGCGAAACCTGCTTTGAATTAACTTTCAAGAAGTAAATCTGCCTGACTAGGAAGGCAGGCATCTGAGAAACTGAATGCCAGGTTTGTTGTTTATTTATTTATTTTTAAACAAGGCACCAGACTAGAAACCAGGAAGCTGTGAGTTCTAGTCCTGCCTTAGGCACAAAAGCTGGCTGGGTGACTGTAGAGTGACGCATAATGAATGTATAATATCATCTCTAATGATTGTGTAATATCATCTCTAATGATTGTATAATATCATCTCCCCTTGCCAAGGGAAGCCCAACCCAGATTTCTTTTTAGCATTCGGGGAATTATCTGGAAAAATGTCCTTTTTCCTTCTCCCACACGCCACCCTCTTCAGCTGCGCTTGAGCCGGGCAAGGAAAACCTTCACAAGGCTGATTTCCCTCCCCAGAAGAGGACAAGGGGAGGCTGCCTGACAGTCCTAGCTGCCCCTCTGGGGTGCCCTCCTTGCCGGGCAGAGGAAGAAAACAATCCAGTTAGTCCTCGAGTTACAGCAGGATTGAGCTCAACATTTCAGTTGCTAAGCGAGAACAAGAGCAACCAGGATGGATGAGGAGACTGGAGGCTGAAACATACGAAGAACGGTTGCAGGAACTGGGCCTGGCTGGTCTACGGAAGAGAAGGACCAGGGGAGACAGGAGAGCAGCCTTCCAATATTTGAGGGGCTGCCCCAGAGAGGAGGAGGAAGGGGGTCAAGCTATTCTCCAAGGCAGCTGAAGGCCAGACAAGGAACAATGGATGGAAACTGATCAAGGGGAGATTCAACCTGGAAATAAGGAGAAACTTTCTGACGGTGAGAACAACCAACCCATGGAACAGAAGTTGCCTTCGGAAGTGGTGGGAGCGCCATCACTTGAGACCTTCAAGAAGAGGTTGAACCGGCATTTGTCAGAAATGGTCTAGGGTCTTCCGCTTGGGCGGGGGGTTGAACTAGATGACCTCCAAGGCCCCTTCCAACTCTGGTTATCTGTTATCTGTTAAAAAGGCAAGTGGCTTTTTTGGAAAAAGCACCCTTGGGACAAGGGTGACCTGAAGGAGGGAGAACCTCCGTAGATGTTTCCTCCTAGTTGGCTTGAAGGGGCCGTGGCTGCCCCAAGAGGAAGCCCCCCTTGCATCACCCCCAATTCCTGGCAGAAGGGCCTGCAGCCAAGGAACGCTAGGAACCTGGTGGGCTGGGCCTCAGCCCACGTGGGCAGGATGAGACCCGCCAGGCGGCTTGGAGGAACCCAGGGGCTTCCAGGCCAGTGGGAGGGAGAAGAGGAACGGGGTGGGGGGTGGAGATAAGCCACCGCCTGATGGCCTGAGATAACAGAGAGAGGGAAGCGGATGAGAAGAGCTTGGTAGAGCAGAGGACGTCCAATCTGGCCCACAGGAAACACATGGAAATTGGGAGTACCAGAGTTGGGAGGGACCTTAGAGGTCTTCCAGTCCAACCCCCTGCTCAAGCGGGAGACCTGATGGGGGGGGAAGGTGTTTCCAACTTGGCAACTCCTGGATTTCACTTCCCAGAATTCCCCAGCCAGGGTCTTAAAAGTCGGGGAATTCTGGGAGTGGAAGTCCGCAGGTCTTAAAGTTGCCACGGTTGGGCCCCTCTTCCCTACACCATTCCAGACAAACAGCTGCCCAATCTCTTCTGGAAACAGGCCGTTCCACTGATTCATTGTCCTCACTGTTGGGAAATTTCCCCTTAATTCTAGGTTGGATCTCCACCACTTCCTTCTGTTGCTGGGGCCAGAGGCCGTCGGGCAGCCCGGGGACTTGCTGGCTCGGCGGAGCGATGGGGCAAGGCCTGGCTATCTTGCCACGGAGGTGCGATGGGCCGGGAACGTCTCCGCTTCTGCTGCCTCTGACTCATACCTTGAGCTCAAGGGGTGACTCATCCTGATAGCTCTTCCCCCATCCTGGAACTCCCTCCTGAATCACAACAGTTGAGATGTCCTTCTAGCTTAGGATTGTTATGGTTTCCTTTGTGTCAAAAGGCCCGGAGGGTGATGGCAACGCTCAGGTTCAGGGATGGCCCAGGAGGAGACTTGGAAGCGAGTTGATTGGCCGGCGTGGAATGTAGGAAATCCCTGAAGCTCATTTTCCACACATACTTGCGGGAAGGGTGGCTGGTGGTGGAATGGGTGTCTCAGAAGCAACCAGTTCCGCGAACCCCCCCCCCCCCGCTTTGGACTAGATAGAAGACCTCTTCCAACTCCGTTGTTACTCGGTTAAACAGCAAACCCATCAACCTCAGCCAAGCCAGGTTGGGGTGGCCATGGGAGCAGCTTTCCAATCTTCCAGGGGCGGTCACAGAGAAGAGGGGGGTCCCTAACTACGCCCCAAAGCCCCAGGACAAGAAGGAACGGATGGAAACTTATCAAAGCTGGCTGGGGAATTCTGGGAGTTGAAGTCCACGCATCTTAATGTAGCTGAGCTGGAAAAAAAAAGACACTGTGATAACCGATCAAAATTAGCACCAGCTACTACTAGGCCCGTCTTCCTTGGCAAGCAGAGAAGATCGAGGGGGTGGGAGAAGCCGGGCAGGGCTTCTCGTGAAAGAGAAAAAAAGGCAAGATAAGTTGGGGTGTGGACTTCTAAGGAAGCTGCGGGGGGGGGGGGGGGGGGGGGGGGGGAGACAGGAATGCAGACATAACCTGGAGGAAGAGATACACAGACACCAAAATAAATGCTAACTCGGTCCAGGAAATGGGAGCAGGTGAGAAAGAAACTCAAGCTAATGCCAACTTGATTCTTTGAAGTATAAGAAGGAGAGGAGGAAGACCCCCTTCTCGGATTACACAACAGAAATTCCAGGAGTTTGGGGGGCTGCCACAAAGAAGTAGCAGGGTGGGGGGTTCAACTTATTTTCCAAAGCAAAAAAAAGGGCAGGACAAGAAGCGAAGGGTGGAAACAAGTCAAGGAGAGGAGCAACTTGGAAGTAAGGAGAAACTCCCTCACGGTGGAATGGCTTCCCTCCAGACGTTGCGGGGGCTCCAACCCTGGAGGTTTTCAAGAAGAAATTGGACAGGCATTCGCCTGAAACGGGATAGGGTCTCCTGGGGTTGGACTAGAAGGCCTCCAAGTTCCCTTCCAACTCTGAGCTCGCACAATGTTGGGTTTTCGGGCCTGGCCTCCCTCAATGGGTGGGCAGGTCCCCAGAAAAGGCACAGCGAGCGCAGGCAAGCGGGCTGCAATCTCCGACTAACTTCGGTTAGTCCTGAAAGAAACTAAGCTTTTTTCCAGTCTTGGTTAAGAAAAGTCCAGCCGAAGCCTGGCTCCGGCGAAGACC